CCCACCATGGATGGATTCTAGGGGAGGGACAGACATTGACTTCAGTTGTGTACCTACTGGTGAGCCCACCATGGATGGATTCTAGGGGAGACGCAGACATTGACTTCAGCTGTGTACCGACTGATGAGCCCACCATGCTCCAATGTACACAGATGGTTCTGGTTAAACGCAGTGGGTCATAAAACAAGAAGAAACGAACGTGGGAAGCAATCTATAGGGAGAGGGATGGATGTTAGCGGTAAGTGGGAAATGAGAGAGATGAGGGTGAGAATAATTGGAATACACTACCTGTGTGCAATTCCCAGAGAACAAATTAAATAAAGGAAAAATTAATAGGGCAAACACAACCCTCTGTTTTACTTTATTATGATTCCCCGAGTTTCTAAAGAGGAGGTTAATGTCCAATTTCTGCAGCTTCTAAAGATACATTCAGGACAGACAGGAAAAGTGGGTGGATAAAGCTGTAGGGTGAATTAGTATGTCTGCAGGGTCTTTGAAGCCAGTCCTGCCTGGTATGAAATGAGCTGATGTTCACTGTACGGGCCTCAGCTTGATGCCGCTGAGGGATCTGTATTCATATTACCACATGGCAATCAAAATATTTTAAATCTGGTCTTTCTGTTTTGGTTTCGCTCAATTTCCATTATTATCATAGCGTTAATGTCCTTGTTTTTTTTTCCCTCCCCTCTGTCCCTCCCTCAGCCCTTCCTTCTCTTCCTTGAAATGTTAGGGGCCCAGCACAGGGGAACCCATGCTAGGAAAGCCCTCCACCATAGCACCACAGCCCCAGTCTTCCGTTCACTCTTCGATTTGAGACAGGGTCGCACTGGTTTGTCTGTCTAGGCCATGCCAGTATATGCCAACGGGTTTAAGTGTAGGCTACGTTTATTTCTTTTATAAATATTTTTATTTTATAATTAATTTTACATATCAGCCACGGATTCCCCTGTCCTCCCTCCTCCCACCCTCCAGCCTCCCCACCCAATCCACCCCCCACTCCCACCTCCTCCAAGGCAAGGTCTCCTCTGGGGAATCAGCCCAGCCTGGTAGATTCAGCTGAGGTAGGTCCAGTACCCTCCTCCCTACACCAAGGCTGAGCAAAGTGTGCCTCAGCATAGGCTCCAGGCTCCAAAAAGCCAGCTCCTGCACCAAGGATAGGTCCTGTTTATTTATTTATTTATTTATTTATTTATTTATTTATTTATTTATTTATTTTTAAAGAAAAGCAGTAACAATTACAAGATGGGAAGGTCATCATGGTGGTTCAAACTTTGAAGACTTACACACTGCACTGAAAGTTGTAGGAACTTTACAAACTCGGCTTCCTTGGAAACGTACAAGTGTCAAGCAGTGATGAGGAGCTTGGCTCTAAGCAGATCAGAAGACAAAAAGTTCTAAACCACGAGTGTGGTTGCCTGAAAAGCAAAGCCCAACAGTTTCAGGTGAACCCTCTGATTAGAAACTAATGGGAACGATATCCAAATTTTATCACCAGAATGTACGCTATCCTATTTTTACAAGCCAAGGCAAATAAATGTTACTTTTGAACACAGAATGTCATATTTCTAGAACTACATGAGAATGCTTTTTTAGAATCAGTTTTACTTTCATCAAATGTCACCATTAGTCCCTGCTAGACACTGACCTAATAGAAATAATATAGATTTTAAATTTTTTGCAAGCACATTTGTGAACCCCCATCCCCACTTCCCAGAACCTGCTTCAGTTATTTTTCATTTTCATTCTTTCTAGACATAGGAAAATAATTCTCATTTCAACCACCTTTTGCTCTGCACTTAAAAGAAGGTGTCAATTAAGTAAGCCAGGATAAATTCATAGAACATGAAGCAATAAAGAACTTAGAGAGATGCTGGCCACAGTAGCACATATTGTTAATCCCAACACTCAGGAGGCAGAAGCAGGTGGATCTCGTAGAGAATTCCCAGCCAGCAAGGGCTACATAGTGAGATCCTTTCTCAAATCCTCCCCCTCCTCCCCCTCCCCCTCCCCCTGCCCCTCCTCCTCTCTCTCCACCCCCTCTCTTGAAGTGGCAGCACACTTCTGTGTCTTTCCAGTCACCCCAGGAGTCAGACCATGTAAGTTAAAGCTTCAGCTCCGACATAGCCTTTCCTAAAAGGCGGCTTGCACACACATGCGAATATGCCCTCCTCCTTCTGTGTCCCTTCAACTCTGACCTTGCAGTTCATGTGGAAGGCACCCTCCCCCACAGTTCTGCCTGATTTCCCGGATGTGGGAGGAAGGAAGGGCATGCACATCCTACCTCTTACTCTTCTTGCTGAGGTATGTATGGCTCTGGTGAGGATGAGTAGCGCACACTTGAAGCTACAGCCTCTGTGTGAACAAAGAAACACAAACATGAGGTGACCTCCGAACTTTACAATCAGAATAATCACAGCAGCGAATGGGGTGTGACGGCTCTTCATTTTTATCTGCAAAGGCTGGCACCAGGGCAAAGTGGGAAACTAATGTTCCCTCTGTGTGTGTTTGCGTGTGTTTATGTGTGTGGGTGTGCGTGTGTGCATGTGCATGGGTCTTCCTTGACCGTTCTCCACTTATGTATGTAGTATGTATGTATGTATGTATTATGTATGTATGTATGTATGTATGTATTATGTATGTATGTATTATGTATGTATGTATGTATTATGTACGTACTGAGGCAGAGTCCCCAGATCTGGCCAGCTAGCTGGCTTG